AGTATTAAATTAAATAATAATGTGCTTTCTCAAAGTTAATATTTATCAAAGACATTTGTCTCATGAATATCAGCTGTAGCTTGGCAAACCCATCTGCACTTACAGCTACAGATTGAAGCTCCTACAGAAGCCGAAACTTGGAGGACTTCCAAAATGATTCTTGGTAACATCTGGCTTGTCAGACTCGGGGCATATATGTATAAGCATGTGTATCTCATTATATTAGTATAATAAAGCAATTATTTTGCTTTACAGCTGATTGTGCAACATGTTTTCATTCCTAAACCTTGTACTGTTTTTATAACCTCCCATTCACTCAAAATCAACTTCTAACACCACGCTTTTGGAGGGAAATTAAATGAAGCAGATATTTTCTGGGAGAATGCAGAAATGGCTTGAGCTTGGTATTCAGGTGCTGTAAACACTGTTGGCTATAAAGATGTGACTTACTGCTGGAGCAGAAAAGGGGGCTTTAACTCAGGTGACAGGTCAGCTTTTCAGCTGCCAAATTCTTCTGACTCCCTCTCCCCACTGATGACCCAGCTGGAGGTTGAGGATGCCTGAGGACTGAATCCGGTCACACCTTTGGGATTACAGAAGTCAACCCTTCTCATTCTTTTCTCACAGTCCCTCTGTGTCCCCACCGGTCTCCATTGAGCCAAGTCTCTCAATATTCTCAGACATGACCAAGGTCAGTGGGTTTGTGCATTAGAAATTCCTCTGGGGCCCAGCACTGGCTGACAGACGGCTCAAAGGGGCTTTTTCTGTTTTCTTTGTTTTCTAACACTAATCATGGCTCATGAGCTCAGTATTCTGTAAAACCCATAATGCTATTTAGAAGAACAAAAGTATTATTACTAATTCTCATTTTAAGCAATCAAGCATTCTCTGTTGGGTGAATTGAAGAATCCAAATAGGAATAAGACGTATAGACAATAGACTCATTAATTAACCTCTGGGTTTCAATAACATTTTCAAACTTCATACCTGTCTTTTATTTAAGGTATAAAAAGGATTTATGTTTAGTCATACTTACATCACTTGGATGATCATTTCAGTGAGCTGCACTTAAGTTTTGGGTTAATAATGTTTAACAAACTCGAAGGCCTGTCAGAAAGAATTCATAGCGCCATTTTCCCTCGTGGTTATGATCTATGCTCCGTGCGCTTGTTGGCTTTGATATTGAGCATGTGTGACATGTGAATGGCAGCTGGCGTGCCTGAGAAATCTCTGAATCATATTTGGTACAAAACCCTACAAGAAAAGCTCTTCTCTGCCCACACCCTCATGTTGAAATGGCATCATTAAGTGGTTTATATGAAACAATTGAAAAATAAGATTTGCAGACATCCTGCTAAGCATTTCTAAGTGATGGACGATAGAGGATCATTCAAGAGAAGCTCCAAAGTGAGCACAAAACAGAGGAGAAAATTCAATGTTTTAGACTTACACTGTTGGGAGCGCTTTGAAAGTAATCAGTTAGATTTAAAAATTTTTGATAAAACCAGATGAACATTATCTCATCACATGCTGCATTGAGCATTTTATTATGTGGGAAAGTTAAATTGATACTGCTGGTTTTCAGATGTTATTTCCATATTTATATTTCTACATTTAAACAGATTTAGTAAGTAAATCTTGAACATAACCACATTTAAAATATTGCATAGCTCTATTTGGGTCGTCCAAAGTGAGAGTCCGATCATTATTACAGCTGTACATTTAAACAAACTGAAATCTGGGCGGTGGGTACCAGGATGTTGCATAACAGGAAGAAAAGAGAGAAAAAACCCTGTCAGAATCTAGGAAAGAACTGTTTCCTGGTAAGTCAGTCGCTTTTATTTATATAAAAATCAACAGGAAAGTAAATTTATATTTGTTTTTGTAAGATAAACAGTATAGACTGAGCAAATTGTGACTGTTAATGGGACAATCCAGAAATGTCGCTGCTCTGCAGAAATATGAAGACCAAGCAATCGTTCAGAACCGGAGAGATCTGTCTCAATTTTAACTGTAGCCTCAGAACATGGAGGGAAGCTGTGTTTATGCTTTTAGAACACATGAATTTTGATTACCACACGCATCAGAAAATGTTCTGGGTATTAGCTCCATAATTCCCTATTCACACTACACTACAGGATGTTCTTGGTGTTGGACATGTTCTCATGACTCAAAATACTGTTAAGTGGTGCCTTGGTTAAGTAAACAGGAAGTACGATGTGATGCAAAACTGCAATCACTTGTTTACGTTTCAGGGCTGAGTTTGTTATAAACCACCATTTCTATCTGCACCCACAGTCATATCTTACCATTTTGAAGATATCTCAAAAGTGTTTTTGCTATCTAGAAAAGTTGTAGCTATTGAGAGGACAGAAATCAGAGGTAGCACAACTCCAGGGGTATGAGACTCATCCACCTAGAATTTTCCATAATTCATTGATTCTTCTCTTTTTCTGGATGGTATTCCGGCATGACTTGGTCTAACCGCTACTAAAAGAATGGTCAGGGTTAGACAATAAAATGTGGATAACGGTTTCACATTTCACAAGGATCTCCTGCTGTTGACATAAGACTCTGCACAAGACTGGAAAGAAGAGTCATTTAGGAATACGATGTCGTATTCTTCTGATGTGCTTGTTTGTGACCCTTTGAGCTGCCAGCAGCTGTTTCTTTTTCAGGAGAGTTGTGCTGTAACTTCACTGGAGTGTGCAGGCCTGATATTTTCTGCATGTTAGTGTGTGCGTCACTGTGACTTCGGGGCAGTTGTCTGTTTATTCCTACGTTAAAGTCAGGGGCTGAGTCATCAGTGTATGCTGTGTCTGCTTTTCTCCATTGTTGTCTCTTTCTGCCTCTCCTTCCCAGCAGTTGTTGTCGGGTCTGACACATTTCATATCTGTCTATAATTCACCAACTCATGGTTCTCCTCGTGTCCCACCAGAAAACAAAGCTGGTGTGAGGTAAATAATGAAAGGAGATGCGTCTGTGCGTACATGTATTCGATTGCACGTATGACAGCTGAAAGAACAGATTTCCCCGAAATACATTATCATGAAGACATTTCCTGAGGTAGTCTGGGTCAAGCACAGACACAGTTTATCAAGGGAGATGGAATATGTCAGCCAGAGTCTGTCCTGTCACGATAACATCTTGAGGGAGTTGGTGAAAACTAATTTGTCCTTGAGAATAATTTCTCATACCATCAACTTATCTAAATATCCTTACATTGCAGACTTTATTTTGAGCAACCGAGAATCAGCATTAGCTTGTTGTAGTGTGGATCGCACAGGATGTGATGTTTGGACAATTTTTACCCTTTCACTCTCTCTAAATCTCAGAGTAGGTCAGTCTATGCTTGACCAGAGCAAAGAGCAGAGAAGTTCGACTATAAAGGCTTAAATATTGTGAAGTTGATATTTGTTTTGGGGTAGAAAATCTACATATATGCCAGTGTGTTCGTGTGAAATGTAACATGTCAATATTTTATATCACTGGTAACTTACACATGCTCAGAGAGATTAAAACGATTCTATGGTCAAGGCCCTCACGATGTACTCCACATCTCACCCACAGACAGCTGACAGGCTCCAGCCCCCATGGCCTCGAATAGGCAGGAATAGAAAACAGATGAATTGATATTCAAGGTCCTAAAGATATCTTTCATGCACTCAGTTTCTTTTCAAATTGTAACATTCTTGTCAGTAGGTAAGGCATGTGGGTGGTTGAGGTAACCTGTGGGTTATGATTTATTGGGATTTAGCATAAGAAACCTCCTACATATCTATGAAAATGTCACACACCTTTTACAGGGTTTTCTTTGGAGATGGGACTGTGTCATTGTCACATATGCAACATAACACTCCCACTCCCCTGACTGGCAATGAAAGGAATATGGATCACAGGTGGGATAAAGGGAAAAAGATTTGACTTTACACAGTGGGGAACAAAGAGAAGGCAAGGAGAACGAGAGTGAGGACTGTGTTTCATGATAGGGCAAAAGACTTAAGTGATCTTCAAGATGAAAGCCTAAAGGGAGAAAAGTGAAGGAGAGTGGAGGAAGAAAAAAAAAGAGATATCTAAATAGCTGCAATGCAAAACATGGAATTTTCAAGTAGGCTCCTCCAGGGCATCTTAGGAGACTTAAATTTGTGTTAAAACCAGGGAGAGGGAGCACATGGTATTGTGTAATATTGATGGTGAACAAGAGCTCATATCATGTTGCGGTATGATAGCCCGGCAGTCATCTTTGTGACATTTAAAAACTCGGCACAGTTGCTCATTTTGTGTTGAGTTATCGTAGCTTGTTAAAGATTTAAGACCAAAAGCGAACAAGTGTGTATTTCCCCTAAGAAACAGTATAAAGAGACGAGAAACAGGAGCCACGATCAGGGACAGGCAAATTTGATGTGTGTGTGTGTGTGAGGAAACTGTGTGTCATCGGTGAAGGAAAACAACTCTGAGGGGGGAACAACGGGGAGATGGATGGATGGGGATATCGAATGGCAAAATAAAGGCAACAGCCAAAACTAGAGATAAATCAAAGAGATGACAAAACAAAGTACAATAGTTTGGCTGTTGTGCCAACATGCCCTGTGGAGGTCCGAGTTTTTGCACATGTGCATGTTCATGAGGGCTTTTTCTTTGGGTTGTTTTGTTGAAACTGGTGCAGCACCGATAGACGAGGACTGTCTGATTTGTAGCTTGTCTTTAATTGACTCCCTTTCCCTAAACTGTACACATCCTGCCAGAAAATGAAAACAACCTGCTGTAAACCAGTGGCAAACCTTTATCTTTCTGCCTCAGAGTTTTCACATGCCCCCACTGAACGTGCATTGATTCTGCTGCCTGGGCTTTCTTCATCACCCTCCTGGGATTACAAAGCTTCAAACCAGTGACTCACGGAGACCCAGAGAAAGCTCCTTATTGAGCCACTCTGTCTGCTGCTACTTCAAACTGAGATCAGATAGCCTTACAAGAATCTTAATCACAGCAATTAAACTTACCTTCCTGTGCCGGTGACTGTCCCTCCTCAGAATGTGAGATGAGACATGAGACATTTTCTTCCTGATGCCTTTGTTCTGCTCCTCTGGCTCTGTGCTCATTCTGTTTTGTTGACCTGGATTTTGATTAGACTGGATAGGAAGTCCCAGAGACAGGGGTCCACGGGCATCCTGCCAGCCTGTCTCCAGGTAAACATGAAGGCACACGGCCAGCCCAGTGAGCAGAATGCCCAAACGTAACAGCAGTCCCAGGGTGAGGCGCTCTCTCCACATGTCCCTCCACAAGGTATCCTCCGCGTGCTGCTATCCTGCATTCATCCCAGAGGTTCAATAAGAAGTTAGTATATTTTTCTTAGATTTTTACCCCATTGTCTTCTTACTCTTATCTGGTCTTCTCTCATTAACTCAACAGTGCGGGGTTAATGAAGCATTTCAAGTTCCTTTCTGCTCGTACAGCAACACACACACAAGCTTGCATCCTAACAAGTGTGGCTGTGTGCGCGTTAGTGCCGAGTCTCTGCAATCAGACCCCGAAATGCAGAGCCAGTCGCACTCTTTGAAAACTTTTGGGAACTCCCCCCCTCACACTTGCAAGTCCCACTTTTACCAAACACACGCCCCTTTAATTTGCTTTCCTCATTCTTTCTATGAGCCTCACATCACACAGACACACACACACACACACACACACACACACACAGGCCTGTTACTCTGCCCTTTTCTTGGGGTTGCTTCTCCCGCCCAGCTGAATCTCAGATTTCTAACTAAATCCAGATATGGGCAGGGCCAGCTGCTCCGGTCTGGAGCCTTGCTGGACTCTTCTCTCAGCATCTGGTAGTTCTCTATGCTCAACATGACAGCTTAGTATAGAAAAAAACTCCACTCATTCGTGTTCAAATCAGCTTTAACCTTCTGTAACACGCAGTGTGTTTAAGATCAAATGAGACATTTACCAGAGCTACCAGATATATTATTTTTAGGAGCCTGAAAAGTAGTCATCACAAAATGTTTTACTTTGAGTGAAATCCATTTCAAATCACCTCCAGCTATGTCACTCATTCAAATAAAGGCTTAAATACAGAAGCAAAAGAGCCACTTACTTCTCTATGATCGTGTAGTTTCTGAGCAGTGTTTGTTTGCATGCCATTGATGTCAACAACTAAAATTGTTGTCTAGAAACAATCATTCCGATGTTGGGAGCAATGCAAGAATTCATGGGATTTTAATTAGAATGGGTTTTTTAAGACAATAGGTCTTAAAACAAAAAAAACAAACAAACAAAAAAGAATTAATGATAACAGTAATGTAGATTAAAAACCTTATTTCTGCTTTAGAGTGGATTTTGTTTTGCAGACAAAGCCTCTGCCTTGATGTATGGCTTAAATCTATATTAATGGCTGATATTTCCTCGTAATATTTTACTTACTGAAAAGGGACATTACCATTCCATGTGTATTGGGTAGTAGTACTAGCATGCATTAGTGGTTTAATGTGCTAATCTAGGCTTAATCTACTTATGTGGGAGCATTTTTTATTTCACATAAATAAAAGTTTAACAAAAAGCTTAGAATTCTCCAAGCAATTTAAATGAATGATTCAGATCTCTTGTATAAGTGTTTAAATACATTTTTGTAGACACCAAATCTGACAAACAAGTTACATAAGATCAAATAGAGTTCTCTTTGGAAATGCAAAGCTTGAAGATGCCTTCACATGAAGCAATCTCTGCTGCCTCCCAGTGGCTGGACACGGTCACTTGTCACCTCCATATGGAATGAATTACAACACAATGAGTCTGTGTCTGTCCAGTGCCATGTGGTTCAAATCGCACGTTAACCGATAATGATTATGTAATGCATAAAAACACGAGAAAAAGTGTATGCCGTATGAAGTTTCCTTGTGTAAGACCATACTGATGTTACAAAATGAGGAAGGATAAATCCACATTTACTTTTTCCGTTCTGTGTCTATCTTAACACCCATGAGCTCCTACAGTTCTACACTTGACTGTGAATCCTTCAATATTCTGTGAGCATAAACATGTTGAAGTCTTTATTTGGGAAAAAACACAAAAACAAAGCTGGCCAAAAACAACTCAAAATGCCAGAAACAAGCTGTGTATCAAACACAGAGAGAATCTACGTTTTCCGTTGTGCATATTTCATTGTGGAATGTGTTTGTGATGGACCGCTTCCCTTTCTTTTCCACTGAAACAGAGGCCATGAACACTTACTCTACTACCATGTCCTTTTTTAGCCTTGTAGAGATATCAGGGCAGCTGTCAGAGGTCACTCAGAGGTTCACCATTAATCAACAGACTCAACGAGCATGTGGGAGCTAACTTGCGAGTTGACGGGAAAAAATATTTATCTCCCCCCAGACATTACACAGTTAAGAAATTCTGTCATGCAAAAACACATGTAATGCTTGTGCTTACTCTGAGTCAAAAATAAGCTGTTGAAGCATTGAGGAGATACAGTCAAATTAGCCTTCTGTGAGCAAGAGAAAGGGAAGAAGACTGTAAGTGTTGGAATAGAGATGATACATAGAAACACTAATTACCGTTAGAGATAATCCAATTATCCGAAAGGTCCCAAAACTCAACTTCTCTTTCTAATAATCTAATATTGATGCTTCTTCATATAGATTACTTGAAGCTAAGCAGGCAACAGCTCATCTGATACCTGCAATATTCAGAATGCACAATACAAAGTATAAACTGTGCTGAACTGGACTAAAAGAGATTAAACTGTAAAGCGAAGTCGAGGCTGTCCTTTAGTAGCCAGCGAGCACGCTGAAATCTGGATAAACGAAGTGGAATCTGGCACAGTGGGAAGAGGCCAGTTGTGACAGGAGCAGGTGAAGGTTAGTGTGTGTTTACCTTAGGCCAGAGAGCAGACAACAGCCAGTTCAAACAAACGTATACACACCAGCTAACTCAAAAATGAAAAAACTTAACATTTTTTAAATGAATGGACAAAGCTTTAAACAGATCTTAGCTACAGACTGATAAAAACAATAACACACAGACCTAAACCATAAGACATATCCTGAACAGAGAACTCACCAGAAATAAATGATGACAAGATCTACTTGGCGAAATATTGGGGTTAATTACAGGAGGAATCCCTGCATGAAAACAGTATGATTTTAGGTAGCAAATGATGAGCGAGGACAGCAATTGCACACATAGCTGTTGCTTGTATATATAATCCTGCTGAATCCAGCCAAAGCAAGGCTGTGTGAGTCAAAACCGCCCAAACTACTGGATTTATTAATGATTAATCAAAACCAAAATCAGAAGCAAATGCAGAGGTAGTCAGTTCATGCCAAATATAGATATATATTTTTACTTTGGATTTGGGATTTTGGTGGATAGTAAACTGGAATTGCAAGCCAAAAATGTGAAAATGTGAAAAGATAATGAGGATGCTTCACATGGCTGGTTTAGAGATGAGTTTATCTGATGGATAAGAGTCTTCCACTGAGTTTTTAACGGGGTTTACAGTGACTGTGGTCACCTCAACAGAACGGTGGATGGTTGTGCGGTTGGGTGTGTTTTTAAACTGAAAAGGTGGCAAGTTTCCAGACATGGACTGACGGGGTTCCTAAAATAGGAGCTCAACAGCGTGGGCTTAGGTTACATGTGAGCGATTTTCTCAAAAGGGGTTAAAGTTGCAATCAACCAAAAGCAACCAGTGTGTTATGATGGAAGGATTTCGTTAATATTCCAAAATACACAACGAAGTCATCCTATAATACATATGGAACTTTATAAGCTCTTTACATCTTTCGTGCACTTTGATCAATAAAATAAAACAGTGTCTGGATTCATTCATCCAACTTTTTTCTTTTTTTTTTCAGGACTATGTAAGAACATAGTCCTGAATCGGGTTCTAAAAAAATCGTCATCAAAGAATCCCCCCCCCCCCAGATTGAAAGAATACTCCTTTCGTGCGTGTGGGGAGGTGGGGGCGCGCCTGCTCGCCCCTCCTACACTTTGAGGGTGAAAGGCACCGGTCAACAACGCAGTCCATGTCTGAGGCGCGCAGGGATCGGCTGCCCACTGGGGAGAGACGCACCTGAATGCCGGAAAAATGAGCGTGGAGAGAATATTCGACGAACTCGGACACTTTAAAAGGTAAAAAAAAGGACCCTGTGGACTTTTCTGTCCACATTCAAGGTGATCAGCTGAATGCTTTATCTTTTTTTGTTCTAAGTTGTGGACTATGTGTGTGTTGACCAATCAACAGCCAGATTTTTTTTATTTTTTTATGGATAACGTCTGAAGTTATTTTTATTCCAAGTAACTCCAAGTAAGCGAGTTTGAAAGCAAATAAGTGATCGCGTTCCATTTTTCCCCAACTATATTCACGTTGGAACACAAAGCCATCAGTTACATGATAATTAGATTTTTTTTAAGTGAGAGTCCTGGTAATAACGATATATTTCTATCCTCTTTGAAAATAGAATACAACATGTTTTAACACAGCTAATCAACCAACTGTTGAATACATTAAACTTTGTTTCTCTTTTTTGTGAAGGACAATGAAGGCACAGGGATTTTCTGACCATTTTGTCTATTTAGTTATATAATTCCCAACACCAAGACAGCAGTTTTTAAACTTTTTAAAAACTTCTTTCTGTCTAATGAAGTTGTCTTTTAAATGTCTGTTCCTGGACATGAATTATCAATACAAGGAAGGGAATATTTCTGTCATTTGAAAGCTGCTGTTGGTGTAATTAAGACTCATCAGAATCTTTTTCTTCATGTTCTGTGTTTCCAGATTCCAGGCATGTCTGTACTTTGCAGCGGTCTTCCAGGCCGTATCCTGCGGAATTCACTACCTGGCCTCTGTTTTCCTGGTTGAGACTCCAAATTTTGTATGCAGCGTGCCTGGCAACATCACAGATGTCCTGTACGGTAACTGGAATGCATCAAGTTTGGAAGGTATTCTACCGGTCTTCAAGTCGGGGAGTGGCCCGCTGGTGGTCAGGACGGACCTGGGCCAGCAGTGGGAGCTCAGCAGGTGCCGCTGCGCCCTGCGCGTCAACCCCGAAGACTTCAGATATGAGTTTAACGGCAACAAAACGGTGAAAGCGTGCGGCGGGAACTTTGTTTATGACCACACGGAAGTGTACCAAAGCATCGTGACAGAATGGGACCTGGTGTGTGACAGAGAGTGGTTGGCCAAGCTGTGCCAGCCCACATTCATGCTCGGGGTGCTGATCGGAGCTCTGTTGTTCGGGGACATAGCTGACAGGTTAGTATCAGCCACACTGTGCCGAAAGGTGGAGTACAGATAAAAAATGGCAGATTCAGAAAGGGAAAACTAAATCCCTTGATAAAACATATAGACCTCAGAGAAAACTATCCCCATATAAGGATTTGAAACAAGACTGCTTCATATAATTCATTTGAGTTTCTGACACAGTATCTAATCTGATAGGGTTCTCTTGTACTGAGGGATATGTTAACGCAGACTGCTTCAAAAGTTGAATAATAATTTTGATAAGAACATGTGGAAAGGAGCTGACTATGGAGACAGACAACAGGAAAAGACGAGGACAGATATCTAAAGAGAGTAATAACGGGGGGAAAGGATGGAGGCAGAGTCAATGGAGAAATGCAGGGACATGACCACTGGTCAGACAGAGCATAACATAACCAAGCAGTATTTAATTGATCAGTACCTAGAAGAGAGCAAAAAGGTTGTGGGTTCATTTGTAATGGTTTCCACTAACCATTGAGGGTTAAGGCTAATTTCTGACGGTAGAAGTTACTGTAGGTTAATCCACCCAACAATGCAATGTGTCGGGCCTTATTTTTGCTTCTTTTGTTAGGTCCACTTGCTGCATCCAGAGTGAGCAAATGTGGCAAGCTTCCATTGCGAGGGGATGGTGAAATTGTTGCTTACACGTTTTGGCTAATAGGACTATTGTCCGTCTTTACACTATCTAGAAAGCCAAAGTAAATCCATTAAGATCATATACATCTATGAGAACTCCAGTTGCCCTGAATACATTTTTCTTTTTAGCCATAGATCAAAGTGCACGGAGACCCTTTTTCTCCTCCTCAGAAGGCTGAATCTGAAGTCTCCATTAGGTTTCATTAGGCCGGTCTGCTGCTTTGAACACATGCTACCGACAGCAGTTTGCTTTTGGAAACACTGTTTATAGGTCTAGTTAAAAAAAACATGACTTCTAACATGCTTTTCTGCCTATGGCCATCTTTCTCTGTCTCTTTACTCTGTACTCCTCCTCTCTTTGTTTGTTTCCTAACACCAGAGTGGGTCGTGTGAAGATTCTGATGTTCACCAGCCTCTGTCAGTTTGGATTTGGGGTTTCTGTGGCTTTCTCTGGAAACTATTATTTATTTGTTGTCCTCCGCTTTATCCTCGCCATGGTGAGTTCAGTGTTTGTATTAGTATGTGCTTGTTTGTGTCTGTTTCTGTTCAGATTAGAAAGAAATTGCCCTTTTGGACTCTTTGCAAACGTGAACATGGATCAAAAGTTTTCCATGCTCTGTACACAAACAAACTGTCTCACTATGAGCTGTTAATGAACCAGATATCCTCTCAGACACTCTTATCTATAATGCTCTCACTTAAAATAGTTTGAACCACCCTGTGCTAGTTATTTTGCAGACAACATGCAACATTCAATATGTTTAGTTCTAATTTGGCTGCATTACGTTAAAAAAGTTACATTTGGTCTACTTTTTGCACATTGCTTGTGTTTTCATACGGTGCAACATAAGCACATAAGAAAAGATGAAAAACCTTAATTTTGAGAGATGAAAAAGACTTAACCAACATATTCAAATGCCCTAAAGTTAAGTGGTTGTCAAGGACATCAGGAAAGGCAGAATTTCTTCTTTCTCAACATATGAAGTAAAAATATTTGTGTATGTACAGTGTAAATATGACCTTTGCATTTACATCAGAGTAAAGATTTATGGTTTGCATTGAGATAAATACTGTTCATGCCATAGTTGCACAACATCATGTCTTATAGATTAAACTAAATTTCATGTCCTGATCCTGCTAAAGTGTGACGGCGTAAGGAGAAAAATTAATCTGATTTCATAAAGCCTGCATGATTAACATGTGAAGGGAAAACAACACAATTTGTACAATACATGTGCGATCAATTCAAAGTATTGGCGCCTTATAGTTGGAGGCACATGCAGTAAAATAGCTGTGCAGCAAGGGCCTCTGGTTTCGTTTCCATTCGTCTTCTACCATCCCCCCTCTCCTTCTCAGCTACAGCTGTTGTTTTTCACATAGAAATTGGCGCTCGGATAGTGTAGACTGTAACTGCTCAGCAGCACTTTGAAGCTTATGGTCACTGTGGGTAGTCCCAGCTTTAAAACATATCTGTGCAACTTAAACGATGAAGGTCACATTGTTCATTTTACAAGTAAAGAAAAAGTCAAGGCTGGTCTGGTGGGGCTAGCTGTTCATTTCGATGTATCTAGTGTTTGGAGTTTGAGAAAAGACTCGAGTGATTTTATCACTGTTGTCTACTTGAGGCTATCTTCACTGAGTTTTATGATACAGATGATTGTTTCAGTAGTGGCTGTTGGTCGGTAAAACTTTGAAAAAGGAAAACTTTGAGGATTTTAAAAGAGAAGACGAGCACTATCCAAACACTTAACGAGCAGACTGTGTACACTGTATAGTTGCAAAATGGACACAAAATGCCCATAAACGCAGTGCAACATTTAACCTAACTTAATTGCAAAAAACAAACTTTAAAAAGCTTTTGGTTTTACAATTTCTGTGAAAGATTTCCAAATCCTGCAGTTGAGGTCCCAAATTGCACATCTGTGAACATCTTTTCCACCTTTTCTCCTTCACTGAATTTCCCAAACCTCTGTCCCTCCTCTTCTCTATACTCTCTCTCCTCCTTCCCCTCCTTGTTTTCTCAGGTATCCAGTGGCTATCTGGTGGTGGTGTTTGTGTATGTGACGGAGTTCACTGGCAACAAGGTCCGCACGTGGACATCCATGCATGTGCATGCAGCCTTCGCCCTGGGCATCATGGTGGTGGCCCTGACTGGTTACTTAGTTCGGGTGTGGTGGATCTACCAGATCATCCTGTCCATTTGCACGTCGCCGTTCCTGATCTTTTGCTGGAAGTTCCCCGAAACGCCGTTTTACCTGATGGCCAAAGGCCGCTACCAGGAGACGCAGGCCCTGTTGGATACAATATCCCGCTTCAATGGCCTTGAGTGCCGGCTGAAGGCAGAGGAGCTCCTAGAGCCAGAAAAGATAGAAAACGGTAAAGCTCTGCTCAAACAGGAGACAGAAGAGCGTACACCACAGCCTGAGAAGAAGCTATCCATCCTGGATCTGTTTGGCAGCTGGAGGATGGCGGGCCGCACATGCACAGTGTGGGCCATCTGGTTTATTGGCAGCTTGGGCTATTATGTCTTCTCACTAGGCTCAGTTAACCTTGGAGGAAACCAGTACATTAACCTCTTTCTTGCTGGTAAGTGAATTTCTGATGAGTGCCTTTACACTTTTTCATGCTTACACAGATGTACGAGCAAAAGTTTAACACGCCCAGTGTCCCAAAAGTAGTAAGTTGAAAATGATTTGTCGCAGAGAGGGCAGTAAGATAATTTTCGGCCGTCCAGTTTAGCTCTGTTTACTTCTCTGTTTACGGAAACACAGAGTGAATGTGGTCTTTCAGCAGTGAGCCAAAGCTAAATGACTTCCTTATGGTCTCCACTAAAGAAAATGAGATCTGTGGTGTATTAAACATTTAGTTAAACAGATCAAGTATTATGCACTTCTCATGTAATGCTGTTTTGAAAATACTTTTAGCATTGTACTTCTTAGTAGTTTACACAGGTAGTTATTTGCTGGATAATGTACCAATCAGTGCATCCAGTGAGATGCTGGATGACTTGTCAGGTGATGCTTGTTCATTCCTGCTCGTTTAATTTCATGTTAAAATATAAATAGTTCCATCTTACTTCTTCTGGGGGTGTACTGTTGAACTCATTTGTGTCTTCATCAACATCCAGCATTAGATGGTTATTCGGGTCCCCCAGCTCATATGTCACTGTGTCAGTGCTGTGAAAACCTCTGACCACCGGGTGCTGTGATTGGTTGTTTTTGTAGGTGCAGTGGAGTTCCCCTCTTATCTGGTTGGCTGTTTTGCCATGGACCGGATTGGAAGAAAGAAGACATGTGCCCCGGCGCTGCTCCTGGCTGGGGTTGCTTGTATGCTCATCATTGTGGTACCTGCTGTATGTGCAGATATACATTTATAACCCATCATTAGAGTATCAATTTTAGGCAAGTTGCCTCTTAAAATACACTAGTTTGGTCTTCTTTGACAATTATTGTTAAGGTCCCCCAAAGGCATGACTACAGACTTCATTTTAAAAACTTAACTGCACTCTATTTCTGCTGATTATGCTGCTGAAAATGTGCGTTTGCTGTCAGTTGTATGTCATCATCTAGGGGGAAAGTGGGGAATGTTTGTTGTGATAATGCATTTCCTCTTGTAGCCCAACTTTACACTGTAAGTCGTGTTTTGTTTTTTTATTGCTACGGCGCTGCTGTGGGCCTCTGGTTGCTGCTGGGCTCAGATATTTGACACTCACAGTTCCCACTGTGTAGATGGTCTGTGCTCTGACCTACATTAGCGCAGCATATGGTTGGACAAGTAGACAGCTTGTGTTTAAACACGACCTTTGACTCTGGTAGCCGATCTCAAGCACAAAGTGTAAAACAGCAGCATCAGCACGACGGAAATCGTAGAAATTAGTTCAATTTTTTTCTCTCTTCACACTTTCTGTTACTGCCCCAACGTCTGCAGGTCTTTAAGGAAGATTATTTGGACCCAAATGGACAAATATATCTCAAGTTTGACAAACATATGATTTACAACTTAAGAATTGGCTGGCAGAATCATTTATAACTAACAGAGGAAATAAGTTTGCTTCTGGGGAAATACCTTCCTAACAAACCTTTTGCCATCTAATGATGAAGTCACTAAAGAAGAGCTCGTATGAGTTAGCTTTAGCTTTTGATCGATCACACGTCCTTAAGACTGGACTGTGTTTTTGAGCGAGGTGTAGAGGGCTTCTAATGTCGAGTCTTAACATCTGCGTCTAACTCAGCAGCTTCACACACCCCTTCACTCTGTTTTTGTGAGAATCTGGAATTTACAGCCTGGGTTAAGGGTTTGCTGGGAAATTCAGCATCTGCGCAGGATGGAAGAAAACTGCTCTGTCTGACCTTTGAGACAGAAATGTTCCATTTCAAAGAGGACAAAGAGGATTGTTTTCTTTAAAACATCTCTGTGTGTACCATACTGTCACTCCGCAGAGTTACGACTCCTTTTTGGATGCGATTACATCAAACATCCTCCATCTTTTGATGTCTGCTCTGGCCACGAGTTGCGTCATAGCACCAGGCTGAGCAATAATTCTCCCTGTAAAATAAGCACATCACTTGTCTGTCTCCATGCAGGTGTTCATCAAATCTTTGCTCTTAAACACAATTATCCAGACGTTAAAAGATGGAAGTTGGATTTTTATGCCCATTTAGATTATTGGAAAAATGCACTAAAGGAATCAGTAGCTTACATTGATGCATTCCAACTATTGCTGAAGACCACTTTATAATTGTACAAAAAGTCTGGTACCTTGATGGAAAAACCTTCATAAACATCATCAGGATGTCCTCCATTGTCTGCCATCGCTTCTTTTCAGTTGGTGCATTAGTTTAAAAGCTAAATGTGACATTTTTTTAGTGTTTCTTTCAGAATCAGATTTATTAACCCCTGTAATCAAATGACTGAATAGGTTGTTTGCTCAAACTAAACTACCAAAACAACAGCCAAGAGGGAAATCAAATTCATGAAAGAGTTTCCACATTGAGAACACCAATCTGGAGTGTTTCCTTTAGAAAACCACAAAGCCCTCTTAAGTAGGAAACGGTTTAGTGGGAGTTGTTACATGCTGTACTTTTTGCCACGGGAAGCAAGTTTTTAACCAAGATATGAGAAATGTTTTTTTTTTTTTCACTTCTCTGTTAGTCAAAAGACAAAAACACATTTCTGAAACCATTTTGTTACCCTGTGTTTAGGGTTTAAATTGGTACTTGGCATCAGTGCTGTTGTTCTAACAACCGCTGGAGATCACATGTTTTAAGACTCGTTGGCTATTGTTTCTTGTGCATACAAACAATCCTCCCTGTTTTGTCTCCAGAGGAGGATAGTCTCCAACAAGACCAGCAACTCTCTAAACATGCGTTTTAATACATAAAAACAAATCTTTGTAGTTAATATGACACTCAGATTGTTAATACATTGATTTTCATTCTGACGCTTAATGTAAATTTACAACGATGATGTGACTCATAGATGTGCCATTTTTGTGCTTTTAGTTAACACGAGAAGTGGAATTTATCAATGTACTCCCATAACAGAAAATATAATGGGGTCAATTGGGAGCAGAGTGACCCAGATGGCATGCAGTTGATTATACTGCTTGTGGGAAAATATGGCAAGTGTGAATCAAGCTAGCATGCTTTTTTGATCATCCATTGAATCAATCTTCCTCTTAGATTTTGACTCACACTCGCATATTTGGAGAGTTTCTGATTTGGTTAGAAAAACAATATTATAATTTAAAGACTTATTAAGTCTTTGGAAAACTGGAAAAGATAAATGAATATGTTAACATGCTTCGATAGATTTCCGTTTACTTTGGTCTCTTATTGTCATGTCTCTGTCTGCTTTATTTCGGCAGGACATCGAGGCCCTGGCTATTGCGCTCAGCATGACAGGAAAGTTTGCTATTGCGATTGCCTTTGGTCTCATCTACTTGTACACATGTGAGCTGTACCCAACAATCATCAGGTAAGGTCACATTCAGTCCGACAAGCACAGCCAGATCCTATGACAAATGATTTGTGTGACTGTGTTGGTACAAAAAAAAAATCATGTTTAATTTATCTCCGAGTTCTGACATTCCCCCAGAGGTAGAATGAAGCCATTTGCTTTATATATACATTTATTTGTGTAAATTTTGAACAACTAATCTGCTCTGTGTATGCTACTTTCCCCAGGTCTCTAGCAGTAGGAAGTGGCAGCATGATGTGTCGTGTTGGCAGTGTTGTGGCTCCTTTTTGTGTCTATCTGGCCGACATCTGGCAATATCTACCTCAGGTATGAAAACTCTTTTTTCTTGTGGCCAGCCCTCCAGGCTGCGACATCATGTTTGGCATTTTATTTATTCACCGGAGGCTTGTTCAGAGCATTTTTAGTTGCCAGTGCTCATTACAATATTAACATGCAAATGCTGTAGACAGCCTGCACAGAAACACTTTGCTTTACTCTAGTTAGTCTGCAGGCCTCTGTGTAACAGGAAGTGCGTTAAAAAGGATCAGGGGGCTCTGTGTAAATGACTGCATGCCATCTAAGATCCTAATTCAAGGCTGAATTCAGATAGTGTTAAGGCAAAACATAATCCTGGACACACATAGAGCTGCAGGAGTTACATGCTCTTCGGAAGATGTACATATAGATGTTTATTCATGTATTTGTACAGATTTTGTCAATAGGTCATTGTCATTATCTCTATAGATACCAGCAAAATATGCAAGTGGGAAGTTTAAAGGTGCTGTACTCTGAACCTTGAGCACTGGATACACAAAGATTTATTAGATACCACTGCTAAAACTAATCAGCATTTGCTAGTGTCAACATTTTAATGTGAATCCAAAGCATGTAGGAAACTTTTCATTAAATCTGCACGCAGCTCATCGTTGGAATCCTGGCATTTATCATTGGGGTGCTGACACTATTGTTACCCGAGACCCTGGGTGAACCTCTAACCACCACGTTAGAGGAGGCTGAATCTCTTGGACGTAAATCAAGTAAGGAGAAGTCAGCTCTCCGCGAAAAAGATGGTGAGGATGGGATGGAACTGCGCCAACGTGGGGCTAGTGCCTGAGTCCCACGCTGCAGAGGAACCTGCGATGTTTGGTGGATTAAAAGCAGAATAGCAAGTTTTTGGTAGATATTTTTGATTGGCGAAGATCAACAGTTCAGTATTTAAAGATTTTGTTTTCTTCACGGTGCTTTTATGAATTCAGTGACGGTTACGGTATAGGTTTATGTTTGCAAGAGTCCTGTGGCCAAGAGCACAGAATGATGTCTGTAAAAGAATCATTTTATTTTAGTTTCATGTCAGTTGTATTATTGTAGTAAACTCTTATTTACACAAAATGAACTACACCAAAGACTACAGGGATCACATTTCCAACAGTACAGATGACTGTAACTACAGAAATGAGATGTCTTTTAGTTTTAAGTTAAAATTTGAAACTCAACTTTTATTATGGATATATTCAAAATGAAGCAGTCATCATTACTGAAATGCTGCACCATATTTTTTCTAACTAATCAGTATTCATGAACAGTGCAGATCATTGCTTTGTTTAATTTTACATCGCAGTACATCTGACATATTTTGTATGCTGGCGTATAACATTGCCCTCTGAACATACTGTATAATGGAAGGGCCTTTTTAAAAAATATATAAATGATTTTAAAACTTACTTCTTTTAATCTCAGGGCGACCATATTACTGTGAAAATATTCATTTTGAATTATTCTTTTAATAGGTTTTACTTCATTGGTTCCATGATGTTAAATATGTCATTAGTGAATTTTACATCGGAGTCACACACAAGTGACTCCATGTGCATGTTTGCTGTGTGTTATACCGGTTATGTAAGTCTGCATCCTCCATCCATCCTGTTTTTGTACACTTAATCCAAATCAGGGTCATGGGGAAGTTTGCATCCTTTTTTTCAACAACTTATCATGTGTTTGCAAACTCAATAACATGCTGAAGACTAAGTACATCAAGTTGTACTGCATTACTGTGTTCGAGAGTCAAGATGACATCTCCAGATGTTTGGACCAAATACAAGAATGAACCACGACAGTGAAACAATGTATATAACTATTTTGCAATAGAGAGTATTTGTTGCAAAGTAAATTATGAAGAGTAACTGGAATAATAGCCTATGGTTTTTAATTACCTTGTAATGAAAGCACTCAGGTCCAGCTGCATGGATTTTTCTCAGTGATTATTTTCTTTGTTAGAATTCTCCTATTTGTCATCATAGAACAATAAAAAATAACAGACAATGAGGATGTTAGCTCCTTATTGCCACAAAACACTTAATTCTGCTTGTTTTGTATGTATTTGTTTAAAGCCATAGTTTTAAAGTGATACTGAGAAGACTCAAGGAATCTTCAAGCAAACCATGTTTGATAAATAAACTTTTTTCAACTCTCTTTCCCTCTCTCTGTCAAAATGGGGGGAATGTGTGGCTGAATCTGTGACTGCATTCATTTTCTCTGCAGTCTTGGACAAACTCAACACTTGCAGTGTCCTTTTTGTGGAGGAGGTCACACTACAACAACACAAACTAACTCTGCACCACCCTTCACATAAAACTCCTCTGTGTTCAGCTTGTGAGTGGAAAATTGCAGCTGTATGACCTGTGTTTGTGTGTGTGTGTGTGTGTGTGTCAGGCACATGTGGATGGAAAAGTTAAAGATCTGCACATTCCTCCCGCTAATGTTAATCTCTAGCTCTGCTACCCTGTATACTGTTTTGATATTAATGGACTTTAATGAATGGAAAATATGTCAGAAATTGTTTTCTAGTGAAGTCACCTTTGTGTACTTACGTAGCTCTTTCTTTGAGGATACAATTTGAAAGTGTATTTTCCTCAGAAGGAGGTATTTAAAGTTCAAGCCTTGGTTCTAAAATTTGGATAGATTCCAGGAATATTAAGTGCACAGTGTTGGCTGGGTTAATGAATTCTGTTACAGACAGACTTATCAGTGGTTGATTCTACTGTAGAAGACAGCTTTTAGAACTTAATTAGCTCTACAGTACTTTGCTTGTTTAGTATTTCTTCAAATTTCAGAGAGTTCGGGTTAGTGTGTTTTCTTGCAATTTGATGGGGCTTGCAGTGTTAGGTATACTCCTTTTTGTACTATGCTAAGCCATGTTGAAATTTAGCTTGAAATCTCAATGACTCTGAGTCTGTTGGGCCTATGCATTCATAACCACACTCACAACATTTATATCACCCCCCCAAATGATTTGACGATTAAGTTGGCTTGAGAGGTTTTCAACATGTTAAGGTTTAAAATACCTGTTAAGGCTTGTAGAGTTAAATCTATAAATTGGAAGTATTTAGTTGCTTTTTGCTTTGTTGGAGTTAATGATTTTGTTATTTAAAGAGTACAACGTATTGCCATATTTGGATATTTCCCCTCTAAAAACATGCATAGCTAATGAAGTATTTCATTAAGACGGTTGGACAAATTGCTGAAATCAATCTGTTCAAAAGGACACGACATGTTTGGTATATTGAAAAAAGAAAAGCAGAGCCATGCAAGCTGCAATAGACATTTATTTTGAGGACCTTCAAGGATGGAATGCATTTTTCTTAAACCAGATGTTGATATACACCGTTTCTTTTCACACTTGAAATACCAGGTACATTTTAATAGCTGATAGAAACACATTTTGCAAATGCTCAAGTTATAAAACTGTGTTTTCTTTCCTGAGAATTTGGTCTGGAAAGCATAATGAGTACAAATTAATAAATTAAATTGGTGTTAAAGGAAACACTGAACATGCTAATGGAACAATAGTAAAGGTACAGACAGTGGAGATTAGACAGGTTTGGTAGAAATATGTAATCACATATTAGCTTATGGTTACTATCGTTGGGATGAATTTTAAATCAGAAGTGAGAAAAACATGTTCATTTTAAAATGACAGGAATTAATGTGTTAGCTGGTTGGTTATACTTAAACAGTACATCCCCAAAGCAGGAATCCTGGGAAATTTTCCTCCAGTCGTGACCAATTCCCTTATTGTTTGCAGAAGTTTGAAACCACGCAATAAAGTTTAAACACTGGCATTTGGTCTTTTTACTTTGGATTACTTATGAGGCTCTGTGAATGCTTTTCGCATTCTGAAAAAATGACATTTCCCAAAGAGTAAAACTATGCTAAATTATACTGCTAGTTTGGTCAAACTCAATCACATATGCACACATAGCTGGAATTCTTTGAATTCATAATTGAGTGCATACAGTTTAACCCTCATCTATACCTAATAGCATCTTACAATTCAAACAAATTATGTTATAAACCAATAATATAGCCATTTAACCACATCACCACTTGCCCCCTCTGTGCAGTTACATGAATACTTACTAAGGTTTGGCACTTACAAAAGTCCTGGACAACTAATATACATACACGACTTTTGGCACTTTTATATTCATGACCCAATCCAATTTTGAGGACATCAGCCCTTTCATGAAGTATGAACCACCTCTCTCCAGAGACTGTCATCCAAGTGCTCTGGAACATTTACCAAAGGATTAAGCCGTCCACATCTCGCTCTGATCTCTCCTGGAGATTACAAGCTCAAATTAAAACCTAACAGTTTAGCAAACTGAGCTTAATATAATTTCCCTCTGTTTTTGAAGAGTTTTTAGATGCATTTTTTTGCAATTACTCAAGTCCAAGGCGCTGAGGCTTTCATAATGTCAGTCCGGAAGCAGAGCTTGCAAAAACACAAGCATAAGGATCCAAAAGGTGGGGAGCACAATCCCTTGCCATCAAGCTGCCTCCAGCTTTCTCAGCCAATTTGAACTATCATGTTTGGCTTCATCTACCGCTGATTAAACAGCCCCTAGGTATGGACCAGCCAGCTGTTAGCATCCTCCAGGTCTGAGTCCAGCTCCTCGTCTTCGTCCAGAGGTTCCGGGGTCCTGAGGGCCAGTTCTCGCAAGAAAGCAGGTGAGTAGGCAGGAGGTTGGGAGGCTGATTTTAGGCCTATTTTTTTCTTCATGAGGTGAAATTGGTCACGTATGAAGTTGTAGAACTCATACTCGTAGCGCATACGGTGGTACAGCACCTTCAGGGCCTCCAGAGAAGGCGTGTGTTTGCGCACTGTGCCTGTCATGTTGCCCATTTTCCTGTACTCTGTCGGTAGAAGATAAGAAAAGGACCAGTCAACGGTAGATCAAAATCTCTATTTAGACATGATACAAATGCTAAACTTTGAATTAACCAAACAATGGTTTTAAAAACCAAGTAAATGTGATCTATTTTGCCGTGTCCACCAACCAGGGCTTTTGTAGATGTTGAGTACCCCTGAAAAGTAATGAGGTAACAGCCTCTCCAACATGAGCAGAACGTCCTCCAGCTCCTCCAAGATACCCACGAGGAGATAATTCTCCAGCACATTCTGTTTGGCTCGTTCGAAAGCCCACACTCCTGGCTCTCTGTAAGAGAAAGAAGAAAAACTGAAGAGCAACGCCACAGACTTATTAGTCATGAAACACATTAATGTTACAATTTTCTGAAGCAACTAAATGCTTTTTTCATGCAACTTCACATTTTACCTGCACTGAGGATGTTGCCCACAGAAGTAGGGAATGATGTAGAAAACACGAGGGTTGGAGCACTCGGGATAATTTTCTAAAATGCACACATTGATGTCCTGAAAGCAGACGAACACAAAGTCCCTTTAATTTTTTTAGGGAAAACATAATTTCAGCCACTAGATAGAGCTCTTCAGTTGCATTTGTCAAACAGTGTCCACCCCATTCAGATAAACTCAGCACCTCAGCTGCTGTTGGTGAGGAGCTACAACACAAATGGATGTTTGACTTTTCTGTAATTCTATATTCAAATTGCCAAAATAAGAAATGAAAAAAAATAATAACACTTTGTTGCAAAATCTCACGGCTTTCAGAACAATAGTTGTCGAAGCAGATGTGTGAAATCCGTGTTTGAATCTTAAAAAGAGAACAGATGTGGGAAATTAAGCAAGACTAAAAACACTCAAACAAGATGGAAGCTGACCAGCCAGAGATTGCCGTCGAATCAGCAGAAAATTAAAAAGTGCCTGTTGTTGTAAATCTTATAAATGTGAAAAGGTATGCCTATGCAACAGAGGTGTGCTTTTTGTGTGCACCTAACATATCTGTGTCATATTTTCCTGATGCAATTGTAACCTTACATAAATGCATAACAATGTAAATGAATTTTTATCCATTTTATTGCCTTTTGAGGTAGTTTATAGAACCATGTCAATCGGGTTAATTCAATTTTATTCTCAAAGCCTGGAGGTTCCAATTTGCCTCAAATGGCAGTAAAACACCCTTTCTCCTTTGACTGAGATAAAAACACACTCCCAAAAACTCATTAACGTGGAAAACAAATGGAGAAGCCGGAGCATGACCCTTCAGTGAGGAGGGACAGCCATGCAGCAGATGTCATCCCATGCGTAGCAACTAGACTGGAATAACAGACATACCGCACTGAAGCCAGAATGACACAGTGGGATATAGTGTTTGTACATCTTTCATCTAACAAGGGACGATACTAAGAAAGCCGACAAGGAAGTCTTACTACACAAGTCAGGATGACACTTGTTCTTTTTCCTGCCTCTTTTCTGCAGACCGGGGTGGTACAGCTGTAATCTTGATTTACCTAGCAGCTCCACAACTGACTACAACAAGTCACAATGTACACTGGAAACCAGACTTACAGCTGATTGCTTGAACAAGTAACTGGAGAGCTCTTCAAAGAAACCATAACAAAACGCCAGAGGAAGCATAATACAAGTACTGTGGGGGTCATGTCCAGACCCTCTGAGAGTTTGCCCTTTTCAACTTTAACTTGTAATTCTAAGAATACTGTTGTTCTTTTTTTCTTCATTCTTCAAAAGACGGCGATTTCAATATAGCCACTGTTATCAACGACGGGCTATTCTCCAAACACAGTGGGACTATAGAGAACAAAGATATTGTTTTGAACACTGTTAGCCACATGGGAAAAGCTTAAAAGTACCTCAGCTTTCTGGTGAAACTTGCAAAAGATGAATCTGCATTTCCCCCCACTAATGTTAGAGTAAAAAGTGAGAGGTATCAGGTTAATTCTTGCATTTCTCTCACTGTGTATTCATCCATCTATCCATTATCATTACAGCTTATTCCTTAATGGGGTCACGGGGAGAACTGGAGCCTATGGTCAATGGGCAAGAGGCGGGGTACACTCTGGACAGTCCACCATTCCATTGCAGGGCCACACACAAGAAATACAAACACTCACATTCACTCCTAAGGCCAATTTGGAATGTCCAATCAACCTAACATGCAGGATTTTTGGATGGTAGGAGGATGCCGGAGAATCCGTAGAGAACCCAGGCAGACACAGGGAGAAAATGAAAACTCCACCCAGGGTCCCCCGGGACTCGAACCCAGAACCTTCTTGCTGTGAGGAAATGGTGCTAACCACCACACCACCCACTGCGTACTCAATAAACATTAACTACACAAAAGTGATCTGCAGCACTGTAAATGTAAAACATATACAGGCAAAAAATGGAAATTTTGATGCACATGAGCACTTTGAATCTCCAATGCCATTTTATTGCCACCTGGGGGCAGCAGAAATAAGATATCACACACTTGTGCGCTTTAAGGCTTACCTGTTGAAGATTCAACATTCACGCACTCCATTCAGCATTTATTTAAAAAGATCTTTTGGCTCTATTTCTTATTTAATAAGAAATATGTTTCGTATGCATGTTGCCACAAATTATGCTGTTATGAGAGGTCCTAAAACCAAAGCAATAAAAGCAATAAAACAGAAGGGCTGCAAAGTTAAGTCTTCTCATTCACTGGGTTTTTGTTATGAAAATACAGCTTATCTATGTTTTTCCAGCAGTTCATAAGATAACCTCCCTCCCATTTACAAAAAAAACACATATTAAATCAAATAACACATAGAGACAGTTGCTTCTACTTTCAAGGTACACTAAGGCAAGATTTTTTTTAAACGTAAATCCTCTCTGTTGTTGTCTATGTTTGTTGTATGACTGAATGTTGGACAGTGTGGAATCTGATCTTATCAGACTGGTATTCTTGTCACTTTTATACCAGAAAATGACATGTACCATACACGTAATAGAGTGACGGAGAAAACGTGTTAGTCATTATCTTTTTTTCTGTTTGAAATGATCAGCCTTTAATCCAACCCTACCTAAATCACAACATGCATCCTTCAGGACACGCTGAGGTCTGCTCTGAGCTGCGTGTTTGTGCGAGCCCGAATGTGTGTGCACCAAGTGACCACTGCACACCTTTTTAATAATGTAGCGTATTTGTAAGTAAAAAGGGGTGTGGAGACCGACGGAAAATCCAAGCCAACCACAGGAATGTTTAAGTAACATGTGCATCGGGTTCCTTTGGCCCCTGGCAGGCAAACACTGACAGTGTTCTTTCATTGACACCTCTTGTATGCAACTCGCACAGGAAAAGCAGCCCTGGTGCACACCAGGCAGGGGGGTGTGCTCAAATCGCCTCTGAACCCTCAACTTTGAAAAGTAAAGAATACCTGCTGACAGACCTTTTTTGAATACTAAACTTACACATCATTTCATTTCAGTAGAAACATATAATCAAATCTCCTTCAATAAGTCTCCTCACGTGACGAAACGGTAGCTGCTAATGTGGAGGGAGTTGCTGAGCTGTCCATTCACTGAGCTCTCCGAGCCAGCCCCTTGGCATTAAAGTTGATTCCTTAAACCTGACTTTAATCTTGAGGTTTATTGAAAAAAAAATCCTTTCCTTTACCCAAAATGCTTCAAGATGTTGAACACAAGTTTACATCTTCCCTACAAAGAGTATAAATTCTTAAAAGTCATCTTTTGGCTTTTTAGTGGTACACATATTTTGTGGTGACAGTTTTTAACAGCTGTGCACGCCACACGATTGCCAGTGTGCCATGTTTTGCTGCTACTGTTTATAGACATGGTTTAGGACAAAATGGTGACCAGCTTTGTGGATTTGTTCAGATTTGTCTGTGTTGCTATCAGACACAGGCAAAAGAAGAAAAAAAAAAGCATTGTGCCACGCTACAGTACAAGGCTTTGCAAAATACACAGTACAGTAAGGACCTCAAATTGTCCCACGAGGAGCATTCAGAAAATGAATTACTTAAAGTGTTAGATCAACTTAATAAGGTTTGTGTTCAAAAGTATGAGAGTGTTACAGCACAATCACACAAACAGGTACAGTAGGTCAGTCTTAAGCAGTCATCTCCCTTTCCCCTTAAACTTTAGCATGGGGCCCCTCCGCATAGTTTAATAACTCAACTCACATGGTCCAAAACTCCAGGGAAAGCAGTGCAATACTTAATTACACCCAGTCAGACTCGAGCCAGACTGACATTCATTCCAGTTAGCCTCTCAGAATGGCCCTCTCAACTCTGACTCTGTGACAGCATGGAGGAGTCGTGATGAGGAACTAAATGGAGTTTGTGCCGGGAAATTGATTTGGTATTTTATCCAGAACAATTGCTAATGTGATCATGGTCCTAATCACTGGAGTTTTGTTTCGGCCCACTTTCTTCCTTGTCTCATAGCTGTAAGTCTGTTTCTTTTAAGGGTGAAATCCAAATTTGTTCCATCCCATCACTGCTAGTTATTCTGTATGTAGTCAACTCAAAGTGGGTTTAAGCTGCTTGTAATCATAAAATGCACACACATGTAAAGAAACATGTTGAAAATCAAAGAAAGCCTTAAAAAAAGTATGAAGTATGAAAAAAGAGATACACTGGCTTTACTATGGTGCTATGGGGATAAACAACTCTGCGACGCAGATGTAGGATACCAAAGTTTCTCATGTGGTAAACCAGGTCTGTAATTGAAATCTTAATCTGATTTAAACATTGGGTTAACATCAGGCTGCCACAAGTTTCTCTGGAAACACAACATGTGGAACCAAACAGCAGTATGTTGTTTTAAAACATTATTATACATTAATATATGCTTCAAGATAACACTGAGCCAAAACTGAGAGAAAGCAATCAGGATCAAATAAGAAACTAGCTAATGTGTCTATTGTTGTAGGTCATAGTGTTATTGTTGTTCATTGATGGAAGATCAGGTATTTCAGAGTATTTAGTTGAGTAATCTACAAGACATCAAAAAATGACTCGAAACATTTGGTGATGTTACAAGCTGCAGTTGTGCCTACAAAGACACGCTGGGATGTCTATTTCAGTTAATGTCTCTAACGAGCTTTGTGCTGTATTACATGGCTTAGCGCCTGAACAATTGAGAAGTTCTGCCTCTGGCAAGTAAATGACTCAGTTGTAAAATAAGTAGGCAGCTACAGTATGTCAAACACTCCAAACCCATTAATATTTCAAACCATCAGCATCTGTAGAACTGATTTAGCCAATGTCAATAAGAGAGTAAATGGGCCTGTGGGCACTGGGACCCAGATCAAAGGAAGACGGGCTAAAAGATTCAGCATTTGTTTAACTCACTAAATATGCCCTGCCAGCGCATAAACCTGACAGTTGTACTTCTAATTGACTTAGTATTGAACTGATATTTTTTTTTGGTAATGTTTTCTTTTGAAGAAAGAAACTACATACATTAATAAACTTAATGTTAGTTAACACTGACTTTTGTGTCTCTGTCCCTTTTCTAAAAATGGAACATTCATCATAGACATTTTTCATCTGTGGTTAGGCTTCAGATGCTGAAAATACTCACCAGGTATCTCTCATCATCTTTCATCCCTGGGGTTCGGATGAGATGGTTTTGCTCGCCCCTCCAGTCACCAAAGCGACGGAAAAAATAGTTAGATAGGAACCGATTGATGGGGTCCCGGATTATATTGATATAGACTGGCTCTTCTATTCTGAACCTGAAAAATATATAGAAACATTTCAAGTGTGTAGTTTGAGTGTGTCTGCATATTTGAAAAGATAGCTGGTTTAGCATTAACACCTGCTTTTGAAGCACCCTACCTTGTAAAGTTGAGGAAGTGAACATGTCTTGTATAGAGGAACGGTTGAGGGATTTTACTTATGTTTTTCATGAGATCCACCTGCACAAAGTACACACATACACAGAAACAGCATTAAATCAAAGATCATATATCATGCCGTTGGGGCTTTTCCATTTCCTTTCACATGTTCTGTGGCTTTTTTAAGCATTTCAAACCTCTGCCAAGTTTTAAGGAGCACGGTCGAAACCAAAACAGTCATCCTATCCAACAAAAGTCTGCTCAACTCCCTGAAACCCCCTGTTTGTGGTCAAGATTTTTTTTTCTTGGCTGCTTATCTTTCTGCTATATGTAATGCTCTGTTGTTTGGGTGTGTCGGGTTGTGCTTGCCAGCAGAGGGCAGAGTGAGTTGAAAATAAGGCCAGTAAGAAATAGAAGTAGGAGAATTATTTTCTTTTGCTTAGTTGGACAGCTCCGGCGCTACGGAAGTTGTTCTCTTGGTTCTGCTGAGAGTATGAAAGGTTAACTCCTATCTACACTATACGTTGATCGCTTGAGTTGTGTCACAACTTGGACGTCCAACCAAAATCACAATGGATTTTACTTAAAGTCAAATGCATTTTCCAGAACGGGAAAAATGGCAACCTGTTAGTCAAGTCAAGTAAGCCAACGTTCAACTACAAGTAGTACGGAAGTTACCTAGCACCAGTTCTGCTGCGTTATTTTTCCTACGAGTTGACTCCTGAATAACATCATGAGCAAGACATTGGAGCTTTTGTTGGATATAGAAGCTTAACTGCTTAGACTGACTGTGATGGAAGTGTTACAGAGGTTGGCCTTTAAATGGATTTAGAAAGGCGTTTAGAATAAACGGACGTGTTGGTGAGTCAGCATCAGAAGAAACATTGAGCTTTAGCAACCTTGAACACGATCTAAGAAAAGGGCCATCCCAAAACGGAAATTATAGAGGCAGTGATGGATGCTGCACATCCCAACTTGAAACTGAAAATCGATCTAACTCTTCAGTCTGTAGGGGCACGGTGGTGTGATGGTTAGCGCCGTCACCTCACAGCAAGAGGGTTCCCGGTTTGAATTTCTAGGCGCCTGGGTCCTTTCTGTGCAAGGGCTTTCGTGGGTTAATGTTATCAACGCAGAGTACATGATCCACACAGGCATCCAACAGAGATGTTTGGTCAGTTCATAGTTACCGCAATGTCCTTCATTGTAGTTTCATGCTTGTATTGCATATAAATGGCCCAACTTTCTGCTTTAAATTGGAATGAGTGTCCAAGAATGTATGGGGAAAAATAGTAACACAGTACCTAGAATGCAAACCAATGAGGCTATGGGCATAGAAGGCTGATTAATTAAAGGTGGCTGGAGGGGTTTCCTTAGCAAACTGAAAAAGTTCCATTGGCATATTAACTTGGAGATGAGCATCTGGATAGCAGCAGGATAAGCCTGTCAATGAACCAGCAAACCATCAATGAAGCATTCCTCTGGAACAGAGTCTACAATCTGCAGTTTTTTTAAAAAGAAACAGGCAGCGACAAGCTCAGCATGAGGCAAAGATATACTGATTTAATTTAGTGTGATTGAGTGTGATTGACTTTGAAAGGTGCTTACAATACAAAGAGACAAACACAATTCTCAACTGAAGGTAGGCCCATTTTGCCCTTTTATTTTTTTCCAAAGGACTATTATATGCTGTAAAATTAGATATATTTTTTCACTTTCTCCTTATTATTTCAAAAGTCTCTACTCCTCTGCAAACCTTTATATGAAACTCTACTTAGCAAAAATCTCTGATTTGGTGAGGAACTTCTTCAACATCCTGCTTTAACAAACCATGTATTGGCACCTGTTATGTAATTTAAACACTATTTGGAGTGCAACAGCAATATGTATACTTGTTTATGTACACAAGCTAGTTAATCTGAGGCTCCAGTCAGATTTGGGCTTAACACCCTCCCTCCTCTTTATAAACTCAGTACATTTCCACTCGCTCTGCTACCAGCTTCTATGGGTCTCTTCTTCTATAAAAACCTACAATGTAAAGTTTGTAATAAAACACTCGGTAGAAACTGTTTCACCACTCTATCTCCATTCTCAGCTCAACAATATCCTCTTCTCTCATATTTTTCTGTTCTAAATACAATTAAACAAGTTTTTAAATTCCCTCCCCCACCATGGGTTGATGTGCACACACAGAATGCTTTTTGTGCATGTGGAGAGTTTGTGTGTGTTTATTGACCCAACCCCTCTGTCTGCTGTCTGGCCAGACACCCCTCTCATTTACCAGGAAGGGCTACAAGGAGAAAGTGGAGGATTCCATGCATACCTGCTTCACCCCCTCCTCCCTGAGCCCCAGTGATGTCCTTACAGGACTCATCAGGAGAACGGAGGAGGAGCTAGAGTCATACAAAGCTTTAACTGCTGCCCTGGGTTTGACCTGATTCAGTTCACCTATGCATCTCAGTGAGAGCTCCACACAGGCTGAGACTACCAGAGAGATTCCAAAGCAGTCTGTCCAAACAGTGCAGGGCATGCCCTGACATAGCTTTCTTTTAAAAATTGGCTTAGGGATGGAGTCAAACAAACATTTGCTAGTGTTTAATTCAGCGTCTTTATCCCAATCTCTTTGAACAATCAGAATATTGGTGCAGTGAGGATTTGTATCTGGTGATCAATATTTACACATTAGCATTTTTTAAAACTTCACATAAAATGTAAACAGATGCATGTATCTTTTTTCCCCCCAGAAAAGGTCCTCTCAGTCTTTTCAGAAAGATGGGTCATTGTACTTTGTGTCTTGAGTTAGGGGAAGCCGTACAAAGTTCCAGACCAATAAGCCACCATCCCGTTTGGCAGCTGAAGCACAAGATGTGGACCTTGTGTAAACCCATTAATGCATCACTCGGAGAGCCAGCAGGAGCAGGAACTGCGTCCAAAGACTGCAATACCAAGCAGGAACCGCAGCTCATGAGACCTGTATCTCTAAACTTAGGCAACACGTGTCTGCCTCTGCACAAGTCAACGTGTACTGAAGTCCACAGAAGGGGCAAACATATGAAGAGGGAGACACATTTTACCGATTAACACCTAAACGCAAACACGCGCCCCTCTCTACTCCTACCTAGCTCTTTCTGGGGAGGATTGCTTGGACCATTCACAGAGATGTTTTATGTCAAAGGACCTAATGACACTAATGGTGTTAAGCCACAGAGTGTGCAGCCAACACTGACATGAACACACACGCAAACAAGTAACTGTTTCAATATTGGCCTTCCATCTACATCAAACCGGTCAGTAATGGCGTTTCAAATTTAGCATTGGCTAACCATTCCAAAGTGGTTAGCCTCTTCCTAAAGCAACATCATGAGAGGATGTGAGTCATTGCTGCAATACTCCCACACATCATATGATTAAGTTGCTTTCTTGTACAGGCGGCTTAAGAGGTCACTGTGTTATGTGAAAGTGAAAAATGATGTACCAGTTCTGAGGAACCAAAAATACTGTTGTGCTGACTTGACTTCTCCTGAAATTGTAGAAATGTGGGTGACTTTCTTTTGCTTTTAAATTTACCGTCAGCTGGTAACTGATGGTACAACTCCAAGAGAAATAATGATGTTAAATGTCAAAGAGATCTAACTCGAAGGCACAGGAGTAATCATTTCCGTGTCCGTTTTTCTCCAGGCTATGATAGCATTTGAAAGGATGATCCCATGAGAATAGGCCAGCAGTTTTTCTTTTCTTAAGATAGTCTGCAAAAAAGCATCAATGGAGCATCCTATTCTTTCATCTGTCCATCATGCTAACTCAAAGCTCCTCCCAGAACTGAAGCACCACAAACTGAAGCTTCATTTCCACAAAAAGATATCGTCTGTTCTAAGGTTTATTTAAAGCCAAATGTATACACGGAAGTTAAAAGGAGACTTGGCTCAACTTGATTATATTTCAAATTAAACAATACTTCACTGGTAGTAATCATGGAATGTAAACACTTCAGTGTTCCACAGGGAATAAACTAATTCAAACAATTTTTCATCTCCCAAAAGTTTGCAGTATTATTCAAATAAAAAAAAATAAAAAATTAAATGTACAAATGAAATGCAAAAATAGTTAATTTATTGATAACATTTTTTTAAATGTGAATTTAATTATACCTTTAAATAGAATTACTTAGTGTTCCAAAACAATTTTAATAATGAACTGAGTCAAAGGTGTAATCAAGGAAAAGCCATACAAAAAACATTCTTTAAAAGTTAAAATATTAGAGTTGCAAAAAAACAAAAACAACAACAACAACGAAACGCTGTCATTAAGTCTTCAAATATCTTTTTACCTGTTCATGTTTGGTGAGGCGTGTTTTATTGTGGATTTCTGAAGAGACTAGGTTGAACTGATGTTTCTCAGCCAGTAATCTCAGCAAAATCACGACTGTCCGGCTGCCACACTTCCCCACACGGTTATAAACCACCTGGCTGGGAAACGGGAGCACCTGCAAACACACCGAGACAAAGACAGTGATGAATATGTTAACCCGGTGTTGGTAAAACTAAGTCAGATGTGTTTTAGATGTGCACTGATGAATGAACGTTTGTTAATTTTAGTCCTTTTAGAGGAATTAAAATCTTCCCCCTGTACAAAGAAAAAGTTTGGAAAAAAAGGGAGATGTGATACAAAGATGAGAAAAAAAAGGTAAAACACAAAAGAAATTGATCAAATCCTGTCTAGATTCTCTCGCTTTTGCTTCTCTGATCTTTGGTGTGCTCTGGTTTTCACATCTGTCTCCCCAGAGCAGAGATTCATTGATCTCAGGCACACAGCCTTTTAGCTACAAAACACACATAGACCGAGCATGATACAAAGTGTCTTAAAAAAAAAGCCGTATCCCAGTTCAGAAAAAACTTTACTCATGTAAATCGGATGTCTCATAGACACACTCATGCCAACTCTTCCCGTCAAGCAGTTAGCTCATAGCTCCAACTGCTGACTGAGCAACTGGCAGCTGGTCAGCTGCAGGTTTACTGGGGGATCAAACATGACTGCTCAGCTCCATGTTTGTCACATAACACTGACAGTAATGATTGTTCATCTTGAGTAATATTCATCTGATTATGAGTGCTCTTCAGATCCGGGGGACTTCACACACCACAGAGCTCAGCATGGCCTCAAACATTGTTGGATTTTTCTCCTGCGTCTGCCAAAAGCAGCAGGCCCACCCGAGCACACATTCAGTAACAACAGCTCAGGCCTGTTTGAATGCGTGCCAGGGCCCAGTGGAAACGCAGCACAAGAGGATGGACATGAAGTAAAACAAGGAAGGAAACGAAATAAAGAGTGGGAGGTCATCCCTGTATCGGTCCCCACTTTCTGTATTTTCTTCATGATTGATCGATCCTTTGTGTCAGAACCTGACACAGATGTTCTGGGACTTTTGCTTAGAACATGATCTACATGAGAAACAATGACTATGCGAACAAATAACGCAATTACATTCAGGCAAAAGTACTAGCATCGAACTAACAGGGAGGGGTTAGGTTAATGCTGGAATATAAAAGTTTAAGGTGTAATAAGTTCTTTTTAAACTAGGGGAAAAAAGCCTTGCCAACTTAGAAATGGTTTGGTTAGCAGGTCATACAAAACACACAAAATGACATGTTTGAATGGATCAGTGATGCAAGTGCTGTTTGAGTATACAAGCTCTGGAAAAAACGATTTCAAGTAGATTGGTAATGGTTTTCTTGGACAGAGGTCTAACATTCCTCACAGTCTGCCAAACAACCGCAGACATCTCAGCTTGTGACAATAACGAGGCGGATGAAATAGATGCAGTGTTTTGCTGGACATCATTCCCCGCTGATATTATGACGAATGGCTGTGTCAAACTTCTAACAGCCTTATGACGAATAACACTGGAAGAACACCAGAGGCACTATCAAAACACAAAATCTCCCGCCGGCATTGAAAAAAAAAAATCTGTTAGCTTGTGTTATTATTATTCTCATTCTGTACAGCTAAGATTTCTGAAACATCCTGTGAGAAACGTCTGCAGTGTGTGAAAGTAATAAGCTTAACTACAATAGCAGATTTCAAGCGTACACAGTGGGGTCGTTTCAGTTTTGCATCTAATGAGTATATTTGATTTGACTTGTGTAATTTACGGCTCTAATTCTGCTGAGTCAAGCTCACACAAGCATCCAGGGACGTTTCTCACTTTGCTTACCAAAACCCTGCCCACATATTTACACCCAAACCTCCAAAGGCAGCATGGTGTGTTCAGAAATTTTCAGATGTAACATTTGTCTGGAGTGAGAGCGTGTTTTGGTGAACCACACATGATGATCACTGTGCACGCAATTATCCATCATCTTTCAGCAGTTCCTGGAACCCTCCGGCAGCTGCCATCGCTGCTAATCTGCATGGTAACTAAAATCTTGCTGATTTCAGTTAGTGCTGATCTGGTTTTGGTCTTTCTCCTTCTAACTGTGTTTTTCACATGGAGAGGAGAAAAGGGAAGACCCTAAGCACTTCCTGATTGTGAAGCGATACATGTAAGAACATGCATGTGAATTAGGATAAAATTGTTTGAAATGCTGAAACAATATTGGAAAGTCAATGAAAACAGCTATGGTGGCTCATTTAAGACAATGTGTACCATAAAGTCATACATGAATACATTTGAGAAATATATAAAAAAAAACATATATGGGGCATTCCAGCCATAATTCCATGCACATTACATTTCACAACTGCCCATTTACACTGAGCTTTAAACTCAGTCTCTAATCTTTCCCTACATTTACTGGAACTGCGGCACTCCAAGCACACATGATCTAGTTGTCAGATCATGCCCTGCAAGAATCATGGATCAATTCCAACCGCAGAGGTATGTCAACAAAAGGATAATGAGAGATGTGGCAGATGTACTGCTTGCCACAGACATGGAAATTATTAGTCTGTGCTGGAGATGAGATGACAGCTGATATGGAATCACTCAAAGTTTGCAGCTAATTTATAACAAATGTCAGTCTATGCTCTCCATCTGGAGGCTGCCTGTTCAGTAGTTGGCCTGTAAAGTTTTTTATACTCTCAGCACCCAGTTGCTGTGTTCTCATTTTATTTCACCGAGCCACAGTGAGAAGGAATATATGCGATTTGACATGTTTCATCTGATAAAAGGATGATTGGGTCACAAAGATGGAGGTGTGGGGAGTAAAGGGAATGTATACAATTTTGAATCGTAGGCAAGAAATAAAAATAAATTAAAAAAAGACGGGGATAGTTTGTGGCTTTTTTTTTTTTACTGTGGTTACTGTGATCTAAAGTGAATTCTGCAGTTTCCTACCTTTTATTCGAGAAAATATGCTAAATCACTCAGTAATCTCAGCGTACACTGTTGTTTGTCTCTAAACAATATGAGAATACCTTGGTGTGTTATTTGTTCATTGTTTCAAGATGTTAGCACTAAAATTTTAAAAATTGAATAAAAAGGCCCCCAGTTTTACATACAGATTGTATTTCTGCTGAAACTCGTAAGATGATAGATGACAAACCAAACGCTTGTGCGGTTATATCTATAGGATATAGCAGGTCAGGGTTCAAATCTCTAAGTTCCGCTTTCCAAAAAATTAGTAGTTTGTGCTTATGGTACGTGTGTGTGTTGTTTACTATGAGAATATTGTTTTTGCATAATTATTTAAAAGAGCATTTTGCTTGAGTCGTCTGATTTTAGAATCTTGTGAAATTAGCCATATTCTTAGAATAGCATATACTTTAGGTAGAAATAACAGATACATAATTTTCTTACTTAGTAAAATGCAAGCGGGAGAATTTTTTTTCCTTTAAATACATTATTCTGATATTGCAGACTTTCATAGGGTGCAGCTGGCAGCCAACACTGACTGGACGTAAAAAAAAATCTGAATAATCAGAACCAGATGGATGTATCTATGACAGAGTATGGGTTATTCAGAAGTTAAAGAAACAACTTAGGCTTTATCAGTCCCCTCTGTTTTGGAATACTTTCTGTTCCAATTAAATCACATATTTCTTAGTTGATGTGACAGATGTGCTTCTGTTTTTGTGTGATGATGTAAATATGTAGAATCAGACGCTTGAGGACAAATTAAGCTCTTAAACACTCCCTATCTTCAATGGAAAGATGTGAAAAGTGTTTTATTCATAAGGCAGGATTTCTATTTGTTAAATGTAACTGGAGTCTATATATATATATATAGTCTGATTAGAATGATGTAAACTGGCAAGAGTCTTTTTTATTCCAGATAATGGTTCAATGGGGAAAAAAGAAGAAACACATCCACTGTGTTTCAGTAACAGTTTGTTTCATATAAATAAAACATTGATGAGTGTAGATGTAGGAAATAAGCACTGTGGCTGCATGGTTTGTCCAAATGGTCAGCAATAGTTTAAAACACAAAACTGATATACAAAAACCAGATGTGACCCAAGGACACGTCCAAAAAATAGACGCCCTCTTTGGCCCCAAACAAACAACAAAACCAGACTGAATTAAGCCTCTGATTAGCAACGTGCTACATGCTGACCTTTCATTCTGTAATGGAAATCCCGCATGGCTCCATCAATCAAACATGAGGAAGAGAGTGAAAGAAAAAGTTTCAATCAGAAAAGAATGAAGTGTAAATGGGGTGTCCAATTAATGAGGCTGATAATAAACAAGCTGCAGACGGAGGAAGAAAAGAGTTGGCAGGCAGAGAAAGAGGCCGCACAGAGGACTGTTCGTCCTGCAGACATGCAGCTGGATGGATACAAGGCCCCTGTGTCAGTGCTGTATGTGTGTGAAAGAGTGCCTTCAAAGCATTACTGTAGCACTGAAGCCAGGTCTTGCTGGCATTTAGAGAGAGTTTTTCACGCAGCTCTTTCACACAGACCTAACTCTTATCCTGGCTGGCCTTAGCTGGCTTGGATTGTGGGGTTGCACATCTTTGACATACAGGTTGGAAAAAAAAAAGAAGGGACAAAATGGCTATGGAAAGTCAGAAGGAAGCACTTACGCGTGGAGCAGGGGGTCCGTGGTCATCCAGATATGTGGATTCACCTGCAAAACAAGCAAACATGGTGGAATTTGGTAGAGGTTTCTCAGATTGCAACCAAAAACATTTTATACAGATGTGAATCATTTAAGAAGTTTAATCGAAATATAATAATATAATATGATGTATGATAATATATTATATCATATTATTATTGGCTTTAAGCTGACCACACATGCTTTAAAAAAATGATTTAAAATGAAACAGTTTAACTGCTAAACTTTCCCAGGACTTTGGATCTAAAATCAGTTAAAGCAGTGCAGTTAAAATACTGACTGTAAAATCTGGGTTGGATTTGAACTCAAGTCCATTGACTCACATGACCCTCCACATTCTTTTACCAAGCAAATTCTCTGCAGTGATGTTTTCTTCTCTTGATAATTTATCCAATAACAATAACAAATAACTTTTGTTTATGCATTTGTATATTTGGCAGATTCTTTTATCCTAAGCCACTTACAATACAAATCCGATGTTTCAACCGAGGTCGGCTTAGCGTAGCATGCAGGGCCTAGCCTGGGGGCCCTTACTAAACTGGAAATCAAAACCCTGACTTACTGTTTCAAAGACAGTAGTGTTGCCATTACGCTATCCAGCTACTATATAGCATTTCCTCACAAGAGACAGTTTGGGATCCTTCTGTGTCTGCTGAGCCCCAGCTTTTTATGGAAAGTTCTACTTTGGACCAACATCTGAACTTTTTTAATGTATCTATATTGTACAGATTTATGTAAATTAAAAAAATCCTTCCTAGCGTACACAGTTTATACAAATTCAACTTGTTCCTCCGTATGTGTATGTTTTAAATCAAATCAGTGCTAACCACCAGCTCAGATCTTTTTCCTCCTAATTGGACTCCGGGTTTACAAACTCCTGACTCCAATTAGCTCTTGTTGATAGCTTAAGGCAGACACATTTTCCATTATACACAGCATAAGTCTGTACAAACTCAGTTACCCTCACCAACAAATCTGTTAACAATCACTTGATTTTGTTTATTCTTAACAACTGGAAATATTAAAGGATTACACATTATTTACATCTTGTGCTTTTGCCAGATTTATTAAAGAAACAATAATCAAACCTTTCTCAAATCTCGCTAATGTCTTTCTAATCCCTGCAATCCTGCCAACCATCAAAACAATTTGTATCCTTTTAGGATCACAGTGGGTCAGATGAATCACGAATAGGAAAACTGCACATGCAGCTCCCAGACCGATGGCCTGCAATTATGGACATCTTTGGAGTGCTGGAAGAAGCTAGAAAAGCAGGAGGGCTAGACTCGTAAGCGCAGAGCAAACATGAAAATTCCATAAGTTTGCTAACTAACAAAAACATTCAGTGTGTAGAGGATATGATCAAGTTTAGGCATATCTTAACTTTCACTGAGAGTGAACTTTTCGGTAAACCAGAAAAGACACGTCACTAGATAGGGTCAGAAACACTGCTTCAAGTGTAGTTTTTAAACCTGCAGCTGAACCCAGGAGCAGCTTATCCTTCATTCTCTATCACTCACAAAGAAAATAAAGCACATAACTCTTTAGTATCAAGTGCAAAAGTTGTGAAAAGAATTGTAGTTCATTCATACAGAGTGAGAAACACTGCTTTACGTGGGAACAATCAAACTCATTCAAGGTTGTCCTCACACTGATGGTATGCACTCGCCGTTCAGCCCACTCCTCTAATCTAGTCCTGGGCTTCTAACAGCGGCCTTTTCTTTGGCTTCCTCTTTAGACAAACAGAGAAGCATCAGTGCCCACCACTTGCACAAAATAAAGGGTGTAAAAGGTGAGAGAAAACGGATTAAAAAGAAATGCTTAAACTGTAAAAAGATTACATATAACATGAGAGAACAGTCTCTCCTTGTGTCTCTGAAATGGGAGTAATGCGAAATGAAGCATGAATACTCACACTGACTTATTTCCAGCCAAGTTTCCCTCTTGGCAAACACTTAGAGATGTCATAGTGCATTTCTGCTCTAAGTCCATGACTTTGTAAGTACTGTTCATACTTCAGATAGTGGTGATGTGTAAGCTTTGAATAAATAGTCTAACAGATCAAATCTGCCCAGTTCTGGAACTGTTAGAGTATTACGCACAGACTCACGCACACATACACACTCACACAGTTACCACACAGAATGGAGATTCATCTGTCTGTCCCGGCTCATTAATTCATCAGATGGAGGATCTACATAAACTGACACAGCTGCACCATGTTCACCCTCAGGACATCCCCCCCCCCCAACACACCCTTTTCATCTGAGCTTTACATATCCATTTTCCTGAGGAATTCCGAGGAAAGCACGTGTTTTCTGCTCTTCTCCGAGGCATTTCAGGTCACGGAGGGGTGAGGATGCAGAGAGGCAGACGCTTCTGTTCCTTCCTCTTTCATGGACAACTCCTCCCCCCCTTTCGCCCCACTACTGCCGACACCGCCACAGCCTCCTCCATCCAGTCCCCTCCATTTACTCCTGTGTGTGCTTCTCATCAGTGTTTTGGATAGAGGATTGGAACTAATTTTTTCCAGGGCAAGAGCTTGTAAAAGCTAACAGCTGCCCTCCGCCCCCACCACCCACAGAGGGAGGAAAATAACCTTAAAGAGTCACTGTACACTGTACTGTACTCACTGACCCCATTGTCCTAAGGTGATGGACGTGAGAAAACGATAAACTAGACTTAAATGGAACACATACACTTCTCATATCAAAATGTGAAAAAAATAAAACAACTTTTTAAAGCATATTTTGTGCCCTACAAGTGATTTATGACTAATATAAGAATCGAGAAGTATGAAGTCATTTAACATTCTATAACAGCCCATTCATTCAAACATGTGAAAGGAATAGTGATTAATTACACCTCTGGGCATATAAGAATTTAATAATTCCCTGAAGAATATCTGAATGCAAAATGAAAATACTAGAAACACGATATTTTTAATCAGTTGATTTATTTACTCATTTCCTATTGCTATTCGTTTAAAGAGTTTGGCAGACCTCTTAGACTAAGTGCCAATAATGGATATCTTGGGATGACACAACATTATTTTGCCTTCAGTCCAAATGATTCACAAGTCATGAAATTCTCATTGAGAAACGGCTTAATTGGAAACAGCAAATAGTTTCCTGAAAAAAGGGAAAAATACTTTTCTAACCTGAAACTGCACATATCCTCACACTTATCATTTTTGTGTGTCGGTACCCACACACACACGCGTGTGAGTGTGCGTGTCAGCAGGTGATTGAAGGGAAAGCTAATTCGAGTGTGGCTGTGCATTGGTATGTTGCTTAATGGTAAATTGGATTAGTGTGTCACAAGATCCGGGGACTCGCCTCTGCCTAAGAAGAGCTGCTAAACAATTTCCAGTCAGAATTATCTTATCAACACTACAATGTGATTAAAATAAATCTGTTAATGCTTTCAGGCTTTATGTAAAATTATAAGGAGATTGTTTTGGCCACAGATGGAATTTTCTAACTGAAACAAATTGCTGAAACATAAACTAAAAGGAATTTGAAAAGATCTGCCTACATCTCAGTTTCACATCATTTTCCATCCCTGAGGAACGGTGAACTTTAAACCAAACACAAAGAAAAACACACATACTCACTGTCTGAGTCTGAGATATTGTTCAAATGTGGACACAAACTTCCTCTTCTGCTTTTCTGTTAGTAACTGGACATTTTTATCCACCCCCCCTCCCCCCACACACACACACAGCCAGTAGCTGCAAATGGGTGGACACTTTAAAAGGAAACTTTATTAGCTAACAGAAATCACCTGACAGTTAATACACAACATTGAATTATAGCAACCTTCAGAGTTGATATTATTTTTGTTTTTCTCCGCACGAGAATGACACTGTCATGACATTGTGATTACTATTCCAACCAACTGATTCCAGACTATCTTGATAGTTTTTCCAGCCATGGAAACAGTCATCAATGAGTACAACAGCTGACAGAACGCTATAGATCCAGGAAACCTGCCTGAAAAGAGAAAAGCTTGTAAAATGTAATAATGGGCATCATTTGTCAACCTTTTTTTTCCCCCAAGTCTTTCCCCAAGTCTGTAACCAGCTAAACCTAAAAGATGTGCATATTCACTGCAGTTGGTTTAATGTCTGCATCACATTTTCTTCTGTCTCTAGATGAAGCAAATAGCAAGTCAAAATTAAACGAAAGCATAAAAATGTGTAGAAATCCAAAAAGAGTCAAACTAATTCCTCATGAGAGATAACATTCTCCTATGTAAGATGTGTTTAATTTCTTGTTGAATTATGGAAAACAAACAATGGCAAGATTTCTGAAGTTAAAAGAAATAATGAGCTCTCATTTCTTGTACAATCATGCTACACCTGTTCTTTGACAAAATCTGTGCACAGAACTTTATTCAGGCTATGGAATTTTCCTCCTGCCTGCTCGAGGAATGTTCCAGCAAGTTTGGGAATTTGATAAACATGTATTTAAAGCATAGACCATTTCATTTGCTTTGTAAAACTGGCTAAGTAGAGCTTAGGAAAGAGCGCATCCAAGAATAGGCCGAGGTGGGAGCAAAAAAAACCCACACAGGAATGGGGTTTGAGAGGAACGCCAAAAGGATAGGCACAGTTTTGAAGTCAGGGAGCCTCTGCTATGATGTGGGCTGGGGTTCAAAGCAAGGATGGAAGCTTATTGAGCTGCTGTCATGGAATGTTCTACGAGCATGTGAAACCAGATTACAGGTTCTTTGTTATGTGGAGACCAATCTCTCTCATCTATAACCACATCCTGCTGTAGTTTCTTAATACCACAGAGGGACATGTGATGAAAAAGAAGGTATGAAAGCACTTTGAGCCACTACTTTTGTTTTAGAAATCCAGATTGCTGGTTGGGATTAAAGACATAAATAGAGGAACAGATGCTGTAACACTGTGGTCAACAATCACGTACCTTCTGTCGGTCCTCTCTGAGGAAAGCGCATCCCGTTAAACTCTGACACACCTCTGGTTACAGTCCCTACTAAACATTTGCACCAGAGCAGAATACACATTCATAAACAAAGTCAGTGTGCATGTTGTATGTGGAGTATATACA